GGGGGGGGGGGGTTTAGGGTTTTGGGGATTTGAGGTTTAGACGGTTTGGGGTCGGCAAAACCGGGCTCAGGTTTAGGCTTCAGGAGGAAAGTTGCCACAAAACATGGCGTCATGCTTGAAGGGGAGCTCGAATCTGAGGGCGAAGCGTCACCTGCTGATGACGAAGTCATGTAGACGTTTCGGGTTTTGGGTCTAGGGGTTAGGGTATAGGGTTTAGGGTTTAGGGTATAGGGTTAGGCTGTAGGCTTTAGGGCTTAGGGTCTAGATGTTGAGGGTTAGGGTCTAAGGTTTAGGTTTGCCTGTCAGAAGGGGTGAGGACGCTGAGGGTGTGGCACCTGCCCAATCTCTCAGAAGCACTGATCTACAACAGTTCGCTTGCATGCAGATACCAACTGACTCACCTAACCCTAACGCACCCCCTACACCCTAACCCTGCCCCCTCAACCCCAAGTTGTAGACCCTAAACCCTATACCCTAAACCCTAAACCCTGCGCATCCTGTTTAACATGCTGCGGCCATCTGAGAGGTTTGGCAAGTAGCTAGACAGCGTCCTCTGCACGGGCTAGCCTGTGCATAAGGGGTGCGAAGCGCAAAAAGACAGCGGTTGCAGTACGGGTTTGGTTTAGGGTTTAGGGTTGAGGGTCCAGGCTCCTCTTCCTGATTATTGTTAGCCAGGCATTGAAGGCATGAACCTCCCAAGGGTGAATCTTGGAAGGATTCCTGTGGATAGGTAGAGCTGTTCATTCATTCTCTCGTTGCCAGCTAAGCCAGCCTACGCACTGGGCATACAGCCATCACCAGAATCATCAAGGTTTTTTCAGATTTTCTGGAACAACCCACGCCCAAATCCCAATTCTGCCCAATTCTCCTGCAAAGCAGTTTCAGCCCCAGGTTTTGAATCGAAGCTACGCCCAGAACCCTAAATCCTAAAGGCCCTCAAGCCTCAAACAACCCTAAAGCTCTAAACCCTAATGGCCTGAACCCTAGAGCCCTGAACCCTAAAAGCCCTGAACCCCCAAGCCCTGAACCCGAAGGCCCCTAAACTCTAAACTCTAAAGCCCTGCACCCTCGAGCGAGCAGGTCTTGAAGTGCTGCAGGAAGCTGGAGAGATCATCGTCTTTCCGGGAAGCTGGTTCCATCAGACGCGAGCAGAGGTGCGAGGGGGTTTAGGTTTTGGGGCTTCGGGTAAGGGTTTGGGGTTTAACGGTTTAGAAATTTTGGGGTTCAGGGTTTGGGGTTTCGGGCTTGGGGCTTAGTTACAGGGATTCGAGGTCCTTTCCGCGGTTTTGCTTTTTTGGAAGATCGTAATGTTTCGGATCCATATTCGATTCCTGCTTTTCTTGAAGCCCACGCATTTCTGCAAGATCTTTTACTTTTCCGTGCAGCCCAAAAAAGTTATGTATTCATCACCTGCAAAAAGCCACGCATAGAAAGCTGGTCCCAATCATTTCACATACAAGCCTGAATCAGTACCAATCAATACTATTCCTCAGGGCTAGTTGTTGTAATCATACTGTAATTTGCCCCCATAACAAGGCCACTATACACCACCATCCCTATACGACACCCCCCCAGAATGTCCCTTCCAAGGCTCGTGATGTGAACGTCCTTAAAATACGACCACTGTATTAACCCACATGGTCCTAAAGCCAAGCCTGCTCCAGGAGGACAGCTGGGCTGTTTGTGCACAGCTTCTCAATACGCACAACGTCGATTCTGCGCCTCGTCGGGCACGCATTCAAGCCTGAATCCAACAAGATCGCCGACCGAAAACGTTCAACCCTGTGTAATTAACCTTACAAGAGTTTACGGACGGGGACCCAAACCTCTGCAACCAGAATTCAGCCCGATTCGCATCTTCGCCCCTTGTGACAGCTTGTGGTCATTCAGGGGCAGGTCGGTTTTGCCGTGTACCATGCTTGGCTCAGCCCCGGATTCTCAGCTTGCTGGGTTGCTGTTGAGGAACTTACCTTAAGTTACCACAATGGGGATATATAGTAAATGACAGGGTTTCCTTGTTCTAGTACTTTAGTTTAAGTTCCTCAACAGCAACCCAGCTTGGGGGAAGTCTTGAACCCTCTATGGACAAAAGCCCAAGCAGCGCAATATAGGGGCCTCAAGAATTACCTCTACCATTTTGGGGGCTCCTTATTATAACTAGAGTATAATGGACCCCAAACCCCATTCTAGTTATTAAGGCCCCTACATCACGCCTCGAAGTCAGTTCCTCAACTCATGACCCTTGCCATCCTGGCAGCAGCATGCTCGCCTAAATTAAAGGGCCCTTAAAAGGAACACTTTAAAGGAACCCTAGTCTAAACCCTAAACTCTAAACCCTAAATCCATAAAGGACCCCTCAACGGAGCCCTTAAAGGAACCCTCGTCGATCCTTAAAGGAGCCCTTTAGGGTGAAGGATTTCGGTCTTGAGACCCGAGAACCTCTGAGGTTCCCTGAAGCCCCACCTGGAGCTGCCAGAACCTGCTTTTTTTGGTAGGTTCCTGCTAGGGTTTAGGGTTTCAGGGTTGAGGGTTTAGGGTTTCGTTGGGGTTTAGGGGTTTAGGATTTAGGGTTTAGGGTTTAGTGAGGGGATCCTTCAAGAAAGTAGGTTTTGGTAGTTTGAGGTGAGCCCCCACACCCTGTACCCAGAACCCCCGGGAGGATCCAAAAAGTAGATCCCTTAATGGGGGTTCCTATAAAGACTCTTTAGTAGTATAGGGTCCCCAAATTAGGGGTTCTACTTTCTAGATCCTTCCGGGGGTCTGGGTAAAGGTCGTCGGACACATCTGCGACTGGTGCAAGATCCCGCGACCTGTCTCTGGCACGGCCGTGCAAAAGGCGAGGCGACAGGGTTCTGGGTCTAGGGTTTAGGGTTTAGGGTTTTCTGGTTTAGGGTTTAGGGTTTAGGGTGTACGTTGAGCGAAGGAAATACGATGTGTCATAAATAAATAGGTTTTTCCTTGTTATGGTTACTTAAGTAACAAGAACCCAGAATTTCGCAATGAGGTTCCGACTTCAGCGCGGCATGCGGTTCCACGTATGGCTTGGTCTTGGGTTCTGTTTGTCAATGTACTTTACTTACCTATGCTGGGGTTATGAAGACTACTGCTCCTGTGCATTTGAGGCTTTCACCTTGCATCGGTTGGGAACAGAAGCAGTCAGGCATATTAGTTGATGCCGCAGACACTCCTACCTGGCCGCAGATGTCGGAGATTGTTGATTGACCTTACTTTTAAACCTGCTATCTTTCCCTAAACCCTAAACCCTAAACCCTGAACCCTAAACCCTATATCACTTTTGATAGCTATCACAGTTCCCGATGTAGCTTTTGCGTTTCAAAAGAGCGGCACACCCGCCGCCCTAAACCATGAGCGAGCCCACAACCCAATCCCCTAAACCCGAAACCCTATCGCCTAAACCCTAACCCCTAAACCCAAACCCCTAACCCTAAACCCCTAAACCCTACTTAACCCTAGACCGTCAACCCTAAACCCTCAACCTTAAACCCTAAACCATAAGCCCTAAACCCTAAACCCTCAACCCTAGACTCTAAACCCTAAGCCATAAGCCGCAATCCTGAACCCTAAATCTTAAGCTGTACGCCGTAATCCTGAACCCTAAACCCTAAGCTGTAAGCTGTAGTCCTGAACCCTAAAACTTCAACCCTAAGCCCTAAACCCTCAACCCTAAGCCCTAAACCCTCAACCCTAAGCCCTAAACCCTGTACCCTAAGCCCTAAACCATACGCCCTAAACCCTAAACCCTCAACCCTAAGCTGTAAGCTGTAGTCCTGAACCCCAAATCCAAGGCTCAGGCTTGAACACTAAGCTTTGCGAGACCCCGAACTCGGAACTTCTACTGAGCCCTCATTCCTAAACTGGTCCTAACCCCTTAGGGTTTAGGGTTTA